GTTTACAAACGACTTTGCAAGTAAAATCTTCTTAGTTCAACATCCTCTTTGCCTTTTAAGCCTAAGTTTCCAATAACCATGGCGTATTTACAGAAATGATACTTTTTAGCACAACTGTTATTTCTGAGAACATATTTCAATAACCGTTATCAACGATTAACGCTTTGCGAGTTCGTTATTACACAGAAACAACATTTCAGATCGGTAGCGATATGATCCCTTCTTAATGGATTTATTTTACCGAGGCTCGTTTTATTCATGCGTTGCCCATCGTACACCTGGCATTTATAATTGTGACATATTTGACCAAATCTATAGATGAAATTATTAGATTAACATTCTCTCCTGAAAAATTTGACTAATTAAGACTTGTATTTTCTGATATGCTTTTTTTGATAGTAATAAACGGTGTAATTGACGTTGTCGTCTTCGACGCTGTATACAGTTCATATCCATATCAGTATATCAATGTATTCATACATACAAATCATTCATAGTAAGGGTTATTATTGTTACAATAGTATCTCAGTTAAACGATGGACAATGATCCGAGTCATATATGCAAAGTATAAACAACGAAATATTTTTGTTCATGACATGACAAATCAAAATGGACTTTATCCTGACCAGCGATTTGCTTGTTGTCTGCCTAAAGTTTGGAATATTTCGTAAATAAAACTTTCTCTCGCCAACCGTTAAAACACCATTGATGTGACGTTGCAAATTAGAAATTGTATTGGTTTTGAGGTTCTTATTTACAGTTATACGATAATAAGGAACAAAGCTTTCGCCCCAAAGAGTATGGCCTCCAGATTTCCGACTGGCATGGTCGTTTGTGTAGTTTTTTTTATACAAAGCGTTAAAGTTACCGTAAAACCTTTTGAAACTATGGTCTAAATACATACAAATGAGCACTAAGCAATGGTTTTACAACTTCATTTAGTGAAAAAAGTAAATTTTAGAGAGATTAAATGTTGCTATTTGGCACATTTATTTTGTGAAGACCTATTTTATTTTATTTGATAGGTGAATAGTGAACATCGTATACTACTGAAACCAGACCAAGATAATTAAATATAAAATATAAAATATATTTCTTCAGATAAAATATAATACTTTTATATCAGTATTTGAAAGTTAAGATATTTATTGTTTGTTTATACAATATGACTAAATATACCATGGTCTTAAAAGATATATACACAATAATAAGAATATAATTATACACTGTATATAAAACCATTCAAATATCTTGACAACAAATAATGAAACAAAACTGTTATTCACTATCGTTACGAGAATATAAACCATTATTTCCGGTTCTTTATCTTGAATTCCTTTATATACTTTTCACATTTCTTTCGTTGATACGCCGCCTTTGCTTCGTCAAGCTCTTTGTGTGCAGCTTTTTTTGTCCGCTGTTGCCGTTTCCAACTGCTTTTCGAGGTCTTTAATGTTATCTTTAATGAGACAGGTTGTACCGTGTTAAGCCATATAACTCTTTTGAAATATAGGACAGCAATTTAATTTTCCAACCAGCTTTTCAATATAAAGAGAAATAAAAATAATAATAAAAAAATCAAACTTTAAATAACATCATTTTGTCAACGATATTATGAAGCACATGACGTATAAGTAAAAATGATCGAGTTCCATAAAGAATGAATTTCAATGTGTTAAAGAATTTCAATATGTTTAAGGCATAGTTGTCATTCACTTGTACACAATCATTTCTTTAACTTCTGCAATTCTTCTTTATATGTTTTAGTTTGGCGCCTCTTATCTAGCGCTTCTTCTTTTGCTTCGTTTATCTTATTTGTTAGATCAGTTGCAAGATCTGTAAATTTACAGAATTTTTAGTAAAAAGAAACTTGTATACATACAATGTCGGACCCACGAAAGGTTTTAAAGTGGTTTTGAAATATTAAAATTCTATGAAATAACCACTTTGGTTTAAAATATTAAAGTAAATGAAATACAAAAACATAATTATTAAGATTTATGTTAACACAAGATCACGGTGTTTCGATAAGACATAAACACAAAGCTGAGGGAAAATTGATACTGCTTTTTATAATATCATAGGTGATACACTTATTTAGATTTGGAAGTAAAGCCATTTGATATAAATATAATTGTATTTAAAAATAAAAAATGTTTAATATGTACATTGAACATTTATTTCTAGATGATATTCACATTTTGGCTGGTTTAATTAAAACTAAAAATTACTAGTTTACCATCCTGTTTTTCCTTCTTCTCTATTCTTTTTCTTTCAGCTGTCAGTTCATCTTCCTTGCGTTGCAGGTTTTGTTGAGATAGATTTAACTGTTCCCTCAAATTTTCCAATTCACTTTCCAATTCTTGTATCCTTGATTCTTTTTCTCTCTTAGCCGCCAAATTTTTATCTTCAATTATCCGTATTTGTTCCTTAATTTGTCGCAGCTCATTTTCTTTACTTTCAATCTCTGTGATATTTGAAAGTAAATGAAATACAAAAACATAATTATTAAGATTTATGTTTACACAATATCACGGTGTTTCGATAAGACATAAACACAAAGCTGAGGGAAAATTGATACTGCTTTTTACAATATCATAGGTGATACACTTATTTAGATTTGGAAGTAAAGCCATTTGATTTAAATGTAAAAAAAACTTGTTTATATGTACATTGAAAATTTATTTCTAGATGGTATTCACATTGTGGCTGGTTTAATTAAATTTAAAAAAATACTAGTTTACCATCCTGTTTTTCCTTTTTTTCTCTTTCAGCTGTCAGTTCATCTTCTTTGCATTGCAGGTTCTGTTGAGATAGATTCAACTGTTCCCTCAATTTCTTCAATTCTCTTTCCAATTCTTGTATCTTCGATTCTTTTTCTCTCAAAGTTGCCAAAAAGTTATCTTCAATTTTTCTTGTTTGTTCCTTAACTTGTTGCAGCTCAATTTCCTTACTTTCAATCTCTGCCTTCTTTTCTTCTATTTCCTGCACTAACTTGTTCTTAGCATAGTTCAAAGCGTTAAACTTTTTGTCTAGTATATTTTCGAAAAATGGTTGCATCATTTCGCACATCGCTTTTGCCATGCGTGTTAAATTGTCATCCGTACAGTCTTCAATTTTTAGAAAATAAGATGAAAAAAAAAATCAAAATAAACTAGAGGTCTTTTTTCCATTTCTGGTGGCCTATTACAGATTGCAAAAAGTTGGTTTATTAGCCAAATGGGTATTATCATTATTATTATTATTATTATATTATTATTTATTATTATTATTATTATTATTATTATTTTATTATTATTTATTATTATTATTATTATTATTATTGCTCTGCACCAACAGACGCGGAGCTATTTGTGTTTACTATTTTTTATTGTCCATGGACCCAGTTGATCCTTTCGATTTACAGCTAAAATTAAATTCGAAACGAGTTTTATTATGTAAAGTCCCCTACGGTGATTCGCAGCATGTCATTAAAATGTTTGGTCATCATATGTCTACTGGCTGCATTTCTTGCTTGGACGCTCTTTGATGCTTTGCATTAATGCTTTTCTTGTTATATCATGATATATCAATTGTCATGTAACGTACATTTTGAAAAATAAAGTCGATGAAAGTTTTTGTTTTGGCTTATTTACATAAAGATATTTTATATTTCTTACCATGATTAGGTGTTGATATTTGTAAAATGAGTAGTATTATAGATGAAAAGGAAAATGTACATGCTTTGGTATTCTTTTATCTAATATTACTGACTACAGTTGTGACACAAAGAGAACAATGTCGCACTACTGTCATGTCACAAGTCTTGTTTGTATTGGAATTACTTTCCTTACCAGATAGGCATCAGTGAAAGCATATCTTTAAAAAATTAATAACTGGCCCCTCATGGACAGTGCATTCGATGAGTATAATAATGCAAACAAAACATCTCCATTTATGTACAATAGTACTTAATCTAAATAGGAAATGACCTGTGTGTAGGAACGATTTTGCACGGTATCTGTAATGAGCGCATTTTTGCGCAGCGCTTCTCAATTGCTGCATTGCAGCAACATTTGTACTTGTTATTCTATTGCTTTTGTGTACCAAAATCATTCCTGACTTAGATTTCCTTAAAGTGACATGCCTGCAGATGAGTAAAATAAAATATAAATCTCAACATATGTGCAAGTAAGATTAAAAAAAAATATGTCGAAGATGGCAGAAATTTACTAGGTTTCGTTACAAAAATTATATTCTGTTACAAATAAAATAATGAGGGTTTTGCATATTTTGATAACTTTTAGGTCATATCTGTGGATAATAAGTAATGATTTTATTGCAGTTTAAGACTTATAGATACGGTTAAATTAGCTGTCATAGTTTAGCACAATTATTTCGTGCTCACCAAACTGAAAGTGTATATGTAATTGATAGGCGGATAGATGCGCCACTCGAGGACTGTACAGGTCGTATTGCCCGCCCATCCATCCCTTTAACCGCTGTGAGTCTTAGACAATATATTCTGACTTAAAATAGTCATTGTTTTATTTATTTAGTTACATCAAGATAAGCCAGATGTTATAATATAAGAAAGACCTTTTAAATCGATACCATTTTTGATAGCAAAAGGGAAAAAGTAATCGAAAATGAATTATTTTGTAAAAGCGTACATAAAGTGGCTTACACAAAATATCTATAAAAAAAGGTCAATCCATCAAATCTAAAATGAAATCAGTCGCAAATAACTTAATAATAGTTAAAAAAAAAATCATTTCTTACCGTCACTTCCGCTTGCTGCATACCCACTTCCTGTGGCTGCATGCGCCATTTTCCGGTTGTATTGACCTTGTCGTATAATAACTGTTTAAAAGAAATCCAAATAAAACAAGAAGAATGAAAATGAGAAGTGTTTAAAAAGCAGTGCAGATGTTATTAAAGTGATAACGCTACTTTGATAATGATTTTTGTACTACTTAAACTAGATTTAAAAATTCGTTGATTAGGGGCAGCATTTTCCATATATACTAACTGCCGTCCATGAGCATATTCAACAAATCCATTCCCTATTTCATTTTTCAAATGAAAAAAAATCATGCAACTTCAAATGTCTGTTCTAGTCTTACTAGTTATTAACTTACTTTTCATATATAAACGGTTGTTGGTGAAATGGGTATTTGGACTTAGGAAACCTAGTAGCAAATATGTCTTCTGTATGACCGGCCTCTTATCAGCAATCTGATCTTGTCAGCTAATATGCTTCGCAATAGACCTCTGACATTATAAGGCGACATATTGGAACTACTTCAGTAACTTAATTCTACGGTGAAACAAAGGTGACATGTGTGTGTTTTTATTTATATCGTGCGCACGAGATACTATGTCTTGGCCACGAGTTATTTAGTCGTGGCCAGAAGAAAGTAAAGTCGTGGGAACGATATACTTTGTTGTGGCCTCGAGTTTCTAAGTCGTGGGCGAGAGATAATTAAGTCGTGGGAACAATATACTATGTCGTGGCTACGATATACTATGTCGTGGTCACGAGTTACTAAGATGTGGGCACGAAATAATTAAATCGTGGGCACGAGATACATTTTCGTGGCCAAGATATACTATGTCGTCGCCACGAGTTACTGAGTCGTGGGAACGGATAACTAAGTCGTGCGCACTTGATAATCTACCATTCAGATTACACTATATACATATATGAATTTTTTTAACTTAGAAAATATTCTGTTTTCATGCAACAAAATTTTTTTAATGAAAATACTGAAGGTATTCACTTGTTTTATGTCTAGAAAATCACCTTCCACGGTATTAATCAGACATTAATTTTGACTAAGTTATTGCTCTTTGTGGGGACAATTTTGTGATAGAATTTGTCAGTTTGTAAGTACAACGGCCTGTTAACCTAGTTTATACGATAAAATGAGAAGGAATAGTCCTGTTTATTTTATTTGGTTGGGACATTGCCCATGGAAGTAGATATCCTATAAGGATGTTTGAGGTAAAAAGTCAAGGTAACCATGACAATTCATGTTATGATGTCAGTTGTATGTTATGATATTTATCAGAAAGAGCAAAGAGTTTGACGTAGATCTACAACGTCAGTAAACAGTGCTCCAAGTATGCCGAACAATGATTTTTACAACTGTCTATTATGCAAATTTTATTTTTCATTACTAGCCTATGAATTATGAACTTCTTTCAGAATACATTAATATGTCCCTGTCATAGGTCAGAACGTCCAACCTTTTGTTTAGATTTTCAAGAGCTGGCAGCAGCATTTCGTACACCGCTTTTGTCGTGCGTGTTGTGTCGTCTTCTGTACAGTCTTCAAAAAAAGAAAGATAGATAAAAATATCAAAATTAAAAGTATTATCATAATTTTGATCATCATCATCATCAGCAGCAGCAGCAGTAGTTGTTGTTGTTGTTACAAACAAGGTAACAGAGGGTTTTGCATATTTTGATAACTTTTAGGTAATATCTGTGGATAATAATAATAATAATAATAATAATAATAATAATAATAGTAATAATAATAATAACTACTGAATTTATACTATATACTCACCATAGGATTTTAGTAGTTTTTCATGAAACAACAACCCACAAACCTGGAGGCTTACAGCTATAAGACCTTTTTGGTAAAACGTATTTGTAGCTATTATCAATTTTGTTCAATAGTGCATTAATTGTAGAAATGATAAGCAGATGTCCCCGATAGCCGTGAATAGTTTTTATCTTTAATGTTCTGATCCTTAGTATATGTCCCTTACTCAAAAGATCAATTTTTAAGTTTCATTAATATAATAACAAATCTTGAAGTGTGTTTTTAATCAATAGCTAAAATCTTAGGTATTTAAAGGATAACATAAGAATATTTAGCATACTTTTTTCATCTTATGAATTTCAGTTTTACGCTGACAAAGTGAAATTATATCATATAGTAGGAGACTAGTGAATATAGCATTTGTTTCCCGTCCTGTACATTGAAGCAGGCTAAGGTTTAATGGTCGAAAAAGAAATAGAACCTTCGTTTTAATTATAATAATTTTAACTTGGAAATATTTATGTGGTCTAAAAGTGTCCGAAAGTATCACAAGGAAAATACATTGTGACCACCGCATTATTAATTATTTATTTCATTCATTTATTTTTTTTAATTGCTTATCCGAGCATTTTTTTTACTAAAATAAATAAATACTTGTACCTCTTTTGTATCCCGCTCTTAAAGATTATAAAAAGAAAGTAGTATATGCAATAATTGTTCGAATCAAACACTAAAAGTTTTGGGTCCTCTCCATTTTATTTTTAGGAGATATTCCAATGGTCGTGTGAAGTCTTTTGCCTATGCAATCAACGTAATCATCAAATTCTAAATCGTTGTTTCAGTATTGAGTACGGAAAATATGACAAAGACGCATTTTTACGTAATTTTATATCAACTTCTTACTAATACAGTGAATTCAATCCCTTTCGATTTGGTTTATTTAAAAAAATACCGTTATATCTTTATCATTTTTTGTTAGCGAAAAGAGAAAAAAAATCACGAAAATGTAATACTTTGTAAAAGCGTACATAAAAATGGCTAACACAAAATTTCAGACAACCATTTCTTATTTCTTCCGCTTGCTCCATACCCACTTCCGGTAGCTGCATGCGCCTTTCCCTGCGTCAAAGATCATGTTGTAAATGTACTGACCTAGTCGTATTGTATCTGTTAAAATGAAATCCAAATAAAACAAGAAAAAAGAAACGAAGAGTGTCCAAAAAGCCGTACAGATGCTTTCAAAATGATACCGCTACTTAAATGTTGATTTTGTTTTGCTTAGGCTAGATTTAAAAAATCATTGATTGAGGAAGACATTTTCCATATAGACTTTTATACAGGGCGGTCCGTTTCTATGAAAAATTGACCAGAAGTAGTATTTTTCGCGCATGCACACTTTGTGTAGTCCAAAAAGAACCTTGTCCTTCATAGAAATGTAGTAGAAGACAATTCCAAAATTTGAAAATCATTTGAAATAGCTTTTAACACAAAAAATGCATTCATAGCTTTGTGGCCAAGATTGGCAAAAAAGGCATGGAAAACACGATTGTTTAAGAATTCCCCCTTACGATCACGGAAATTAGCAAATAAAGAAGTCAATTTCATTGTTGTTAAAATCGATCACATAAAAACTATTTTATAACATATAATATGTAGAATATAACATTTTTAT